ATCATATATTAAATGAAATACGTTTAAAAATATGTTTCTTTTTTTATACAAATTACACTATTCTAATTATTTGTTAAATACCTTTAGAATATTGTCTGAATTTAATCACATCATTATAATTAATAGAAAAAAGATAAAAATAAAAAAATAAAGATAAAGATTGTTTGACAGTTGTTGAATGACTTGGTGTAGAATGATTAAGTAGTCGAAATAATTAAAAGATCCACATGATATAGTGAAAAATGAAATACAATGTATGATAATTGTTTACAATAAAACTAGAGCACTGAATGATTAAAGGAGACCATGGATACAAAATTATTCAGAGAATTTTAGAACTATTAAGAGGCAAAAAAAAAAAAATTGTCAAACAAAATTCACCTTTTAACGATTCAAAAACTGTTTCTAAATGAAACTATTAAAACGTAAATAAACAACTCCTGAAAGTCAGAACAAGAGATAAACACGTGATTTAATAATTACTTATTAGAAATTTAAGCGGTTTAATGATTACTTTATAAGTTAATTTACCTTTAATTGCATCCTTATCTTGCACAGGGTGCAAATATCCTCATTGTGTTTATTCTATATTTAATTTTATTAAAATATTTAATGTATTTATTGCTTCAACGAATTATCCATAAAAGTATATTTTCATATATTCTTTCTCCTTCCGTTTCCTACAAAATCTATAATTTCTTAGAATGTATCTACCATATTTTTCTAGTTTTTTTTTTCTAGAAAGGGAAATAGAAAAACCAAAATGTTTAAAAATATTATTAAAATATATTTTAAACAATTAATTTTAAAGATTCTCATTGGTTATAATAAGTTTTTTAATTTTGGATAAGTTTATTATCTCTCTCATATTTTCTCTATTTTAAAGAATATTCTAAAAATCTGTTGGAGATGATCTTATAAAGTTTTTTTGTTTAACTATTGTTAAATTTTTTTTAAATACAACTACTAATATTAATTAATAATGCATATAAAATGTTTTACTTTTTATAATTCTTTTATTTATCCTTTTATTAACAATAAAAATGAAAACTTAAAAATGTTAATGGATCATATTATTGGAAATTGGCTCAAATCAATATTTTGATTAAAAACAAAGAAAAAGTATATAAAAAATCTAAAGATTATTTATAGTTTACTAGAAGGGTACTCGTGTAATGTATCGAGACACATCCTGATTTCAATTTTTCATTTTATTTTTTATCTACATCGATATAATACGATTTTATGTGTTTTTGGGAAATCGATAATATTTTTATTTTTGAATAAAATATCATAAAATTTTGAAAAACCTAAATCGATATTAGTATCAAATTAACTATTTAAAAGTTTTGTGTAATTTCGTTAATTTAAATTTTTTATTATAATTTAATTTAACGTAACGAAATAATATAATTTAGGTTTAATTATATAATTCTTTATAAAGATAATAATTAAGTATTCTGTTAAAATTTAATGATTATCCTAATTATATTTTAGATTTTTTATTATTAAAATGAGATGTTTATCCTGTATTTGATTATGTTTATCTGCAGTCAGTTACACAAATTCAAACATGAAGTTTTAATAAGTTGTACTTACGCATAATTTACTTGTAAGAGTTTTTATTAAATGTTCTATAATATAAATATAGATAGAGTAAATTATGTTTTTAGTTCATGTTGTTTGTTGAATTTTTGTCCTTGTGGTTTTAAAATTACAATTTTCATTCATATAGTTTATAATTGATTATCTTTTTCGTCCTTGTGATTTAAAATTTAGTACTTTTTTCGTTCCTATGGTTTACAATTTATTTTATTAGTGCTTTATGTTTGAAAATAGTGTTTTGGATTCATGGACGAAAATAGAAAGAAACTGCAAACTATAAGGATGAAACCGAAATTTTGAAACCACAGGGATGAAATCCATAATTTTTAACAAAATACAGGGATGAAAAACATATTTTACTTTGGTTTATAACAACTTATAATTTTTCCTAAAGTAGAGAGTATCAATGTTAAAAATCTTTTTTTTTTATTAACCTGGATATCTAACCCGTTATGCAAGCCGACTAATCCCAGAACGATTACTTACTTTGCAGATAGCTCAAAATCATCGTATTTGAACCTCTCTGGCCACAAGGGGATTTTTATTATTCATTAGATTTGAACCTGAGACCTCCTGGTACTTTTGACCTTTGGAGAATCTAATATTAATTATATTATTAAAATATTCAATACATTTAATAATATTTTATTTTTACTTCAAAACAATTAATTTCAATGTCTTTTATTGGTGCAAAAAAAATATAAAAATATAATTTTTCTATTAAATATTAAGTTATAGAGATTTCTTCAAATTTGAAGATTTTCATATTTTCTCTTTATTTTAGAGAGCATTTTAGCATATTTGTTGTAAATACTCGAATATTCATTAATTAATAAGTATATTGTATTGTATATTTCTATACATCATAACATTATCTCTTATACATAATTAATAATAACCATTCAAGTGATTTATGTTTTCAAATATATTAAAACATACCTACAACATGTTACAAAATATTCAAATAGAAGTCATAAATATAATTTATTAAGCATTATACATTATTTAGTAATACATAATCATTTAAATTTAAATTTTACAAATAATTATTGGATACATATAATTCCTTAAACTCTTTAAACTTCATAAATTAACATTCAAATATATGATCAGTGAGACATATTAATACAACATTAGAAGAGTACGCGCACAATGCAGCGAGACACATCTCGATTTTAATGTTTTATTTTATTATTTGTCTCTGTCGATGTTATAATACGATTTTATGTGTTTTT